GCACCGCCGAGTCCCAGAACAACCTGCTAAGCCAACTCTTTGGGCAAAAATTAACTAGCTTTAAAATTCCTTTAAGAAGAGATACTTCAGAGTAATTTATGGAAGTGACTTATGGTGATCCTCAGCTGCTTTCATGGGGTTTGCAAGGGAAAAATTATCAAAGCATTAAATTCGTTTGTGTAGCATGATTTCTCTGTCTAGCTTAAATGAACTTGCACTGCAGCCTCTGTGAAATAGTTTGCTTTGTGTCTACTAATCTACTTTAATTCACCTGATTTATCATGCAAATGCTAGAACTTTGATGTTGCTGATGATTTTCATGAACTGAAATTGTAATCGCTTTGGGCAGACTGAATCGTCGAGAGCAATTGCTTTATTGCAGAAGTGCTGAGGTTATAAGGATACTTGCAAATCTCAGACCCTTTTGAGACTGTGTCTGTGTTATCTTTGTACAAAGTACTTGAAGAGATGAACTTCATTCCATAGACGTCTTATTCATAAGGTGCAGTACACTGTAGAAAGCAAATTTTTTTTTTGAAGATTTTGCACAAATAATCCCGTACAATTCATTTAATTGGGAGCTGGCCTAAGAGATGATAAAAAAAAAAAAAAAAAAAAAAAAAATTAAATTAAGAATTGGGTGTCCTATATTTTGACAGCCATCCCTATGAATTTGTTTCTACATCGTCAAGAGAATAACGAACCGGCTCTGGGGCTGCCGGGGCTGTCGGGGCCCTTCAGAGGATGCTGCCACTCTTTGACCACTGTAGACGTTGTAACCGGAGGAGAGCTGCCACCGCGAGCAAACTGCACCTTGACACTTGTGACAAACTCTGATTTTTTAGGGGTTTTTTTTTTGTGTGTGCGTGTGTGTGTGTGTGTGTTTTCTTTTTGTTTGGGGGGGGAGGGGGTTTGCGCAACAACAAAACTGTGCCAATTTACCGCACCGAAACGGTACTGTCCGAGTGCCCTCAACAGTATCACTTCTAAACTATCTTACTGTATTGAGTTAGTGGCTATATAGGTATCCGCTTTTTACTATGCAGTTACTGGTGCTATTCTTCTTTTTTAATGTGAATACAGACTTCCTTGATTGAAAAATAAAAGGGAACCGTTAGGAAGTAGCCATTACCTGTAAAAGAAAACGAAGCAGGAAAAAAAAAAATTTAAAAATCCAACTTTAGGGGAAAAAATCCTGTATGCTGGTACTCCGTAGTGTCGAAAAGGTTACGTCATGTTAAACGAGCACGTTATACAACCGAACTTTTGAATCCGGAAAGAAATCTCAGGTGCAAACGAGGACATGAAAGATAATTAAAAATACTATTGAAATACTCCCAAGTCAAGGAGGTGAAGTAATGCACTGATGTGATATGAACAGTCAGAGTACTTTGCGTCTGTCCTGCAATTATTTTTTGTTTTGTTTTAGATTTAAAAGGAAAAAAAAGATGCTTTATTCTGTTAATATGTATCTTTACAATTCTTTGTATTGTATAAAAATATTGTAGGTAATTTACCTTGGGTGCAATGTGTTCTGTCAAAAGTTTTTATTTTGATATTTTGTCAGAGAAGCAGAGAGAGAGCAGGAAACGCCGTTTTATGATGTTGTATGTGTGCTTTTAAAGTGCCTCTTTAATATTGTTAAATAAAGTATGAGATGAAAATATGGGGTGGTACTGTAAAATCATACATGATTAATCTTTTCAAATATATTCCAATATTTTCACAGAAATCTCCTGTCTGCGTGATGTTTGTGGGATGTTCCTCCCTGGCTGTGTCCCGTACCCCGCAGCCCACTCCTCCCGCGCACGTCTCTAACCAAACGATGATATTTCTAATTGACAGTTGGATGCTCTGTACGTCTTCGTGGTGTCCTCTGCAAAGTGGCCACAGGAGGACGTTGGTGCCGCTGCCAGCACCTTTGCAGTCATTTGGTTTTGGAGCTTCTCAGTGGTGAAGATGCTTGTGCATCTCCTCTTCCCCACTGCATCTTGCCCGAGTCCTGCTCACGACACGGGTGTCTTGTCCTGGGGGGGAAAAGCCCAACATGATGGTGATGGTGATGGCCCTGCTTGGTCATCACCAATTGGTGATGGTGATGGCGATGGCCGTGGCCCAGTTTGGTCATCACCAACTGATGATGGTGGTGGCCCAGTTTGGTCGTCACCAATTGGTGACGGTGATGGCCTAGTTTGATCATCACCAATTGGTGATGGTGATGGCGGTGGCCCAGTTTGGTCATCACCAACTGGTGATGGTGATGGTGGTGGCCCAGTTTGGTCGTCACCAATTGGTGATGGTGATGGTGATGGCCCTGTCTGGTCATCACCAATTTGTCCTCAAGCTGACCTCTGCCGGCACGGCGCTGAGGTCTGAAGGTAGGAGGCTGACACAAAGCCAAGCATATTATATTCTTTAATTACTGTTGCAATCATAACATGGTGATGGTGGTGGGGATGGGCCAGTTTGGTCATCACCAATTGGTGATGGTGATGGCCTAGTTTGATCATCACCAACTTGGTGATGGTGATGGTGATGGCCTAGTTTGATCATCACCAATTGGTGATGATCAAACTAGGCCATCACCATCACCATCACCAGTTGGTGATGATCAAACTAGGCCATCACCATCACCATCACCAATTGGTGACCACCAAACTGGGCCACTACCATCACCATCACCAGCTGGTGATGGTGATGGTAGTGGCCCAGTTTGGTGGTCACCAATTGGTGATGGTGATGGTGATGGCCCAGTCTGGTCATCACCAATTTGTCCTCAAGCTGACCTCTGCCGGCACGGCGCTGAGGTCTGAAGGTAGGAGGCTGACACAAAGCCAAGCATATTATATTCTTTAATTACTGTTGCAATCATAACATTTAAACGCTGTCAATGAGAGATAGCTCCTAACTGCAGGCTAGAATCCTTGCCACTTGGGGCTTGTAACTAAAACTGCAGGATTAATTTGATTAATTGATAGAATTATTTTCCAAACTACTCTTTTGTTTATGGAGGCTTAAAATGCTTGCTGTCTGCACCCTCCTGGTGTGTTGCAGAGTGGAGATAAAGTGGCTGAAAATAATTAGTATGGCTTAATTTAGGGAAAAAAAAATAGCCTCAAAAGAATTTTGCAGAAAATTTAAGGCAGCACATTTTACTTTGTTTTGGCAGGAAATATTATGGAGCTGGAAATGGGACTTTTATGTTTTCCCTCTACTATATTTCACCAGAGCAGCAAACCTACGGGGCAGAGGAGTATTTCATGCCTGGGTGTTACTGTAGCTCTCCCGCACCCCCAGATTCATAACCTGGGCACCTGGAAATGAAGTTCTGGCAGGGGTTTTGCTGCGGGGGACGGGACCCGGCCCTGGGGCCCTGGGCAGGGTGCGGGGACGCCATCCTACAGCAGCACCCACCTTATTGCAGCACGGCCCACGAGCGATGCTCGCCTCGGGTACCGCTTCCTCCCGAACGCTGCTGCCCAGGGGGACGCTGGCATCATCCCCGCAGCTCTTAAAGCTTTTAAGGCTGAAATATTTACTTCTTCCCTTTCCCCTCTAAGTGAGAGTGGGGCTTTTTGTTTTTTCCCCCCCCGTCCTCTCCCGCCTGCACTCACCCGCATCCCCCTCCCGCGGTCTCAGCGCCTGCTGGGCAGGCGACCCCCCCACCCCGGCCATCAGCTCCCCTCAGCTCCCTAAAGCCCCTGGGTTTGCCGAGTCCTGCGTTATCCGGCAGCGCTTGTCACTTGGAAGATTGCGGGCCCCCGTCAACGTAATTCCCGCGAGGAAGGCAAAGCCGGGCGGCTTCTCCTGGCTGTGGATTAACTCGCTGCTCGGCGGGTGCCAGCGGCACGGGGGGGCACCCACGGGACCCGGCACGTCTGGGGGTCCCAGGGCTGCACCCCACCGGGATGCACGGCTCGTCTGCACCATCCTCGGCCCCGATCCACAGCCTCTGCGGATGGGGACAACCCCGCAGGTGGCCCCGGGGGGGTTGCAGGGTGGCTGGGTTTGAACGGAGGGTGCCTGGCGTTGCACGGAGTCCCTTAGGGGATTTCTTGGCATCTTGCCACCACCCTAAATTTTCCTCCAGCTGCTGTTTGCTCTTCAAGCGCCCCCCAAATCCAGCTGGCCTTTTTTCTCAGCCGCACGCCCAAGTTTCTGAGCTGGAGGTGCTTTAAGCCGCTCTGTAAAGCCTGGAGGATAACAGGATCCACCATGGTTGTCATGCTGCTAGCAGGGGCTAAAGATTTTTTTTTTTTCCCCTTGCTCTTGAGTCAAATGGCCGTTCCC